AAAATTAAAAAAAGAAATAAGTAAATAAATGTAGATAGATAGATAAGATAACTAACGGGGGGGGGCGGTTCCTCATTCGAAGCACCGCCCGCGGCACCCAGACAATTGTCCATTGTGCCTCCCCTCATGAACCTACTCATGAGAGACCTGTTTTCCTCCAAAAGAGAATCAGATTCTTCACCGGCAGCTCCCTGATCTGCTCGGGCCCAAGTAGTGCTGAGCCCAGCATCTTGTGTCTCAGCCCTGTATATGCAGGACAGTCGCTGAGTACATGAAGGTTTGTTTCCTTGTCGTCTCCACATGCCCTGCACCTGGATGTATCGCTACGCCCAAGCTTATGCATGTGGTAGTTTAAGGTGCCATGCCCTGTCAGTATCTGTACCGCTGCCCTGGCATCTTTCCTACTCAGAGCCCTTATGCTCCAAGCCAGTTCCCTATTAAGAGTATCTCCTATCAAAGCTCTAGCCTGTCTGCATTTGGACTCAGATTCCACTCTCCAGTGTCTTAAATGCTCTTTGCGGAGCCATTCCTTGATCCTCTCCCTTCCTAGACAAAAGGGGATTCCCAGAGCCGGCCCCGGTCCTACCATTGTTATTTCTGAACCAGCTCTTGCCAGCTGGTCCGCCCATTCATTACCCTGGATGCCTGAGTGTCTCGGCACCCAGGTAACGATGACTTCTCTTTCTTTCGCCAATTCGTCCAGAACGCCTCTGCACTCCTGAACCAACCGCAATGTTATTGTCGGAGCCACCAGCGCCTTAATGGCCGCCTGGCTGTCCGTACAAATTCTGATGTGCTCTCCCGCTTCTTCCCTACTCCGCACGGTCTGAGCACAGCTTAGGATAGCTACAATCTCCGCTTGGAATACCGTGGCATAACTGTCGAGAGAAATGCTCTTCTTCCATCCCTCTCGACTGCCAAAGAAGGCGGCCCCGGAGTCCGTGTCCGTCTTGAAGCCGTCCGTATACCAGTCCCCTTCTTGCACTCGAGCCTCTAAGTTTCCACCTTCCTTTTCCCACTCTTCCGGCCATGGTATATGCACTTTAAAGCGCCTATCAAAAACCCGACTAATAGGTATTCTGTCCTGTCGCATGTCAAATATCGGATCCGACAGAACGTCTTCTGGCAGCCTCGTATGCCAGGCTCCCTTCTTCCATTTTAGTTTGCATCTCAGACGGTAAGCCGCCATTGCTGCAGCAGCCACCACCACCTGGTAAAGCGGTTCAGTGCCGAACATTACGCCCATCGCCGCCACTGGTGTTGTAACCATAGCACCCAGGGCCCCCCTTAAAATCAGAGCCCTGACATGCTCCAGCGCGACTTTGGCTGTTTTCTTTCGCACCCTAGTCCACCATACCACAGCTGCGTATGTGAGTATGGGGCGAAGTATGGCTGTGTAGATCCAACGTATCATACTCGGTTTCAAACCCCAAGTCTGGCCAAAGGTCCTTCTGCACATCCAAAAATACTGGCACAAGCTTTTGCACCGGCTACAAAGGTGCCCCTCCCAAAGCAGTTTCCTATCCAGGATAACTTCTAGATATTTCACTGATTCGGTCGGAACTAACCTTACTCCTCCAAGAGTGGTCCCACAATGGTGCCTATCTTGTATTTGCTAGTGAAGACAGTAAGACCGGTTTTCAGTGGATTCACTGTTAAACCCGTCCTCTGACACCACTTTTTTTACGACTTCCAGTGCCTTTTTTTTTTTTTTTGGTAAGGCGGGGGAAATCCTTTATGAATACCCACGGGTCTCGGGGGAGAGCTCGCCCACGCCGCGTCCCGAGCCTCTCTCCAGTTTTCCCCCCGGGCCACTATCAGTGTGTCGTCTGCGTAGCACAACAGACAACAGCCCAGGGGGAGCGCCGTGCGGAGCACTCTATCATACGCGAGGTTCCACAGCAGGGTCCCAGAACCGACCCCTGCGGAACCCCGCAGTGCACTTGCCTTTTGCTTACCCACTCTAGCTGATCTCGGTGCTGGAGCGTCCTGCCGCGGAAGTAGTCCCAGACCACATCCCGAAAGTATTGGGGGAGACCATGGTGTTCCATGGCTACCCCCACCCAGTCCCAGGGAGTTAAACGCGTTGACGATGTCTAATGACACCGCCAACGCCACCTCTTCTTCCCCTACAATTTGGTCCGAGAGGGCCTTCAGGTACAAAATTGCATCTGTTGTTGATCGGCCCTCCCGGAACCCAAACTGTTCTTCGCTTAGGTCGGGACCGTTCCGCGACAGGTGCCGGACGATTCGGCCAGCAATTATTCTCTCGAACAGCTTGCTGACCTCGTCCAGCAGGCAAATCGGCCTGTAAGCAGAAGGCTGTTCCGTCGGCTTCCCCTCTTTGTGGATCAAAACCAAGTTGGCTTTTTTCCACGCCGAGGGGAAGGTGCCAAACCTGAGGCAGGTGTTGTATAACCTCCTCAGGCGGGCTCCCACTCCGCCAAAGGCCAAGGCCCAGACCCGGGAATTCCATCAGGACCGGGGGCTTTGCCAGCCGCCCACAGTCTCTTTGCTGCCTCGGAGAGCTCCCTTTTCGAGATTTCCAGATCCTCGGACCAAGGAGGAGGGTCCCTCCTCACGAGGATGTTCACATCCCTTATGGGGAAGAGGGTCTCCATCACCTGACCGAGGAATTCTGGATCGAGCGTCTCCGAGATGGAGGGGCGCCGCCGGTCTTAGCCTGTTTAAGACTATCCGGTAAGGACGCCCCCATTGGTCCAGGTCGAGTTCCGCTATCAACTCCTCCCAGGCCTTGGCCTTGGCCCTGCTGATGGTAGACCGCAGTGAGTACCTTGCGGCTAGGTACACACCGCGCGCCATAGCAGTGCTGTCATCGTTTCCACCCGCCCTTCGTTGGGCCCTGAAGAGATTGCGTCGAGCCGAGTTGGCTGTTCTGCGGAGTTCCGCGATCTCCTCGCACCACCAGTAGGCCGCCCGACGAGGGGCGGATCTCGATCGGGGCATGGCCACGTCACATGCCCGTGTCACGATGCCCACGATCGCGGCGGCCTCCTCTTCGGTTTTAACGTGGTCGGGAGGATCCGACCACGTTTCCACCAAGACCGCCGCCTCCAATTTATCCCGGTTTAGTTTAGCCAGGACCCATCTGCGTAGGGGTCTGTTTCCCCTCCGCAGGCGACGGAGCAGCACCTCCCGGGGGCTGTCAGGACCATCTCTATGGTCTGGTGGTCCGACAGGAACTCTCTGTCCGTCACCACCCAGGACTCCACTAACCGCGCAGCCCGCGGGGAGGCCCACGTCAGATCGACTATGAACTCCCTACGGGGACGCACGCACGTGCTTTTGGACCCCCAGTTTAACAGCTGGAGGTCCAGCTTCGCCGCCCAATCCATCACGTTCTCACCCCTTCTACCGATGCGCCGGGAACCCCACGCCATGTTTCAGGCGTTGAAGTCCCCGGCCACCAGCACGGGGTAGGGGAGGCATCGGCGAATGCCTGCCACCATCTCCCGCAAGAGCTGTAGAAACTCGGGGTAAGACATGCTGGGAGGGGCATAGACCCCCACTACCCTTATGGCACCCCACCGCGCAATGACAAATCCTCTCCCCTTCTCCAATAAAGATATGGGGGAGGGGGAGCGCGGGAATTGCCTTCAAATGATGACGGCGGAGCCATCAGCGGCAGCGACCTAATTGGGATTTGAGTCGGGCACGCCGTATGGCTCCGCCACCACGCCTAACCCTGCACCACGCCCGCACAGGTCCGCGAGGAAAAGATCCTGGGCCTGTCGGGCGTGATTCAAATTGGCCTGCAGGAGTCTCGTGGACATTGTCAAGTCGGCGGAATCTGTTACTCCTGCAGGCCAACCTCCATCGTGTCGTCTATCGCGACACTCGGCGACGGCTCGCACTCCATATCAGGGGGAGGACAGGGTCCCTCCCAATTGGGCAGAATCGCAGCTGCCGTCGCCTTCCTCTTTTTTGGTTGAGGGAGGGGTGCCTGGGCAGTCCCCTCCTTAACCTTTTTCCCCCGTTTTTCGGGGCCTTGCACGCCGGGCCTCCCAACCGGTGGGAGGCCGGGCGACCGGCTGCACTGCATATAGCGCAGTGGGCCGGTGCCGTGCACGCTCTCGCCTCGTGCCCCTCGGTGCCACAACGGTAGCAGCATTTGCTGCGGTCTATGTTGCCCGAGGGGCATTTGGCTTGCACATGCCCCTTCTCCAGGCATCTGTGGCACTGGAGGGGGCGTGCATCCAGTGGTTCCACTTTGAAGTGGAACCACCTTATCTGGAGACGGCCGACTTTCCCAATTTTTGTGGCCGCCTTCAGGGGGCAACGGACTCACGCGGTCCTGGTGCCCCTTGCCGTAGTTTTGATGTCCCCCACCTTTATTTCGGTGAGGGGACATCCTCCCTGCTCTGCCACCGCCCGGGCAAAATCCTCGGGTGTGGCTGAGGGATCCACGCCGCTGATCCTGATCTCCCCCATCTTCTGGGGGCGAGCGACCAATTCCGGCCTGTCGGCGAACAGGTCGGTCATTATCTTGGCCAACCTGTCCGCTGTTCCTTCCTCTCGGGGCCGGACACCTCCATCAACATGGCCCCGGTTTGGGCCAAGCGGGACTTGGATGGCTCCGTGATCCCCAGGTCTTCGAGGGGGATCTCCTCCTGTGCCCTCTTCATCACCGCGGCGTATTCACCTACTGGGCAGGTGATCATGACCGCCGCTGTGCGGGGGCCTTTCTCTTCTTTCCCCC